TTTTTTAGGCAGTAAATACAGGAGTAAAGGGCATGAGAAGTACGCCAATTACTGGGTTTTGTTTGTAATTAATGCCTCATTTTACGGTAACAACCTTATGACTCAATAACCTTTGGTGTTACAGTGAAATCTTCAGCTTTGGAAACATTGCTCCAGTTTGTGCATTTGACATAACATCAAACTGATGCTTCAAGAAAGGAGGATTCCCCATGACCACATATCTAAAATGATTCCTGATACTAAAACTCTTATTTTCCAAACTTTTGATAGGAATCATAATACAAGTTATCATCTGTTTTATTTCAACACTGATAATTGTATCAAATCCAGTAGTTTCCTATACATGGGTGTGTAACTACATAGGATACCACAGCTTTATTTCATAGCTCCAATTATTTCAGAATAGCACTGCCTTCCATTTATGTGATTTGATCTTCACAATATGAGAGGATGTAATAAATGCTGATAGACATATGCGTATCTCAGATACTTAAGTCTGATGCAATGTATAGTTTGGCCAATCATTGAATCATTTTGAAAATAACCAAAAATTAAGGAAAATGAATCACTTTCTCCCCACATTCCAGCTAAATATTTTGACACAGATCCATCTGGATAGAGTCCTTTGCAATTTTTTTTCTGATGACTTATGCTTTTGAGAGTTTGGAGAGCAATTCTCCTACAGTTCCATTAGTCCCTAGGTTGGCACACTGAGATTTCAAATAGAGATGGAAGGGCCTACTTTTTCAGATGCTGGTCTCAGACCTTAAACGCAGCATCAGTTCAACAGTGTGTGAAAATAAAACACGGTAAGATGGAGCAAAGGGGGGTAAATCACTATAAGGCTATAAGACAAAGATAAAAAGATCAAGTGAGCAAAAGACAGAAGCATTCTAGTGAAAAAAGGAAACACAAAAAATAAGCTGGATCTGTACAAAATATTAGCTAATCACAAAAAAAATACTATTTAGAAACTGATTCAGACTCAGCCTGTAAGTATGAGCAATTATATTGCTATTACTAAGCATAAATATGTTTGATTGCCAGAGGAACTTATGCTTATTATGAAATATTTTATATATATATAAAATAAAGTTGGACCCTTTAAGCAGACACTTCATTAATAAAACATTGTCTTTTTTAAAAACAAAAACCTCAAAGCTGATTGGAAATATGATTATAACTTCCAGGTATAGGGTAAACAATCTCAACTTACTGTAAGTATAACACTATTCGCTAGGTATTTATTACACACACACACACACACGTGTGCTCACCTTACAATACAGCAAGTAATTTACCCTTTTCTCTCTATATAGATTCTCTCTCCAGTATCAGGTTTAATTTGTATGTAACCACATTAGTCTTTCAAATACAGTTATATTTTAAGTTAGATTCTGACTCTTGAGAGATTTTCCTGTATCAAGTATATGCATATGTAACATATTTCAAAGGACTAGACTGCCTTTTAAGGAGAAACCAAAATCCAGAATGCTCTGTCTACTATATTGCTTCAAGTGCTTAAAATTCAGAAAGCCTGCTAAAAACCCTTAAGTAAAACCCAAACCCTAGATTATCCTACCAGGGAAGAACAGGATGGTCACAACCATCTTAAATATACATACCATATGAATATCCACTTGATGTTCTGAGAAGATAACTCAAGCAGATGAAATGATGTGAGTCATAATTAAAAACATTCCAGCAAACATCCATAAAAGGTTTGCGGTAATATGAGAGGTCTTGTCTGCAGAACTATCATAATTCAGGCTTGGCATCTGGCTTTGCCTTGGTCACCAAAAGTCTGTTCTGGGTTATTATTGCACACTCCATGGACTGCATTGCAGAAATGATGGAAGCCAGTTTCCATATTAGTGTTAATTGACCACTGGCTTGGGATATCGCCTAAATCCCACAAAAAGTGATCTTACAGGGGGAGCATTGGATTTATATTATCAAAAGACTTTCCTTTCTTCTGCTGATCTCATAACTGCACACATACACACAGCAGGCAGCTGGCCAAAACACTCTAAAATAATGCCCCTAATTAAAGCAATCACTTTTACCATTTGATGAACAAACAGCTCCTTTTACAAAGTTTATCAAAAAGAGATTATATATTGAATATCAATGAGGATTTTTCTTGAGCTCAGAGAATATCTCTACATTGTATTCTGGCAACACAGATAGTGTGGAATGTGTGTGCTTGATCTTTTTATATCTTGGAATCTGTGGATAATTTATAGTCATTCACATTGTTGACACAGCACAAAATAATGTAAAAATCTAGCCAAAATAATGACTTTGGGACTAAGTTAATTTGGTTTGGTCTCTTTTTCATTAATTCTTTGTAAATGCAGTTTAATTTATTCTGCCGAATTCTGAACTTGAATTCATTAAAATCATGAGTTGCATTTCTTGAAGTAATATGGCATAAGAATATGGTAGTGTCTATTTATTCATATCTAAGGGTATTTCTAAAATGACTCACTGCTGCTCCAAGTCAGATGCCTTACAGGAACTCCTTTTTCACGTGCAATTTATATATTAAATGATAACAGTTTTCTGAAAATGATTCAGATTCAAGTCATGTGTTGCTATGCTCTGTGTCATGGTATAATGGGTCCTCTATTAAGTCTGCTTTTGGTACTAAATCATCTTTACAACATTGGCTGGAAGGAAAGGTTAACTCTAATGGCTAGTACTTCTATACTCCATTGCAAGAAAAGGTCAAACATGTTTTCAAAATTATTATTATAAAATTAAAGACAAAACTTAGTTTTTTATTTGTAATTAATTTCCATATTTGATAACTGATGACAAAAAAGCCTGTTTAAACTAAGTATTCCAAGCAGATATTTAGAACCTAATCAATAAATATTTGCTGACCAAAGTATAAAAAAGCAAGATGATGAGCATTTGAAAGGTATGGCCTAAAGGAGTATTTCTTAAACTCTATTCTGCTTTGATTTTGTTCATGTGTGTAATCTTATCTGAAGAGGACAATTCATTATTTTTAGAGATGATCAAAATGTGAAAGTATGAAGTATGATAGTTTTCTTTTAGTCGGGCATAAAAATATCAAAGTCAAAGTCACTCTTCCTCTCCAGTATAATGATGACATAAATTATTATGGTGCCATTTCATCTACCCAGACCCTGGAAACAACCTACTCAGTAGGATTTTTAAAGATGCATAGAAGTACATCCACCATGATACCAAAAAATAAGTATCCAAACCATATCAGATTAGTCAATTACCCAAAAATTATAATTTAATGTTATGCCTCAAATATTATCAATTCAGATAGATAAGATGGAATGAGCAATCCATTCAATTAAATAAAAACTCCTCAACAGAATGCATGAAGCAGGTGAGTGAACTCCAAAAAATTAATTGTAACAGGAAGTTTTGGGGAAGAACCAGAATTGGAGGAAACAATGAATCAATGATAAATATACAATGATAAAGTCATCTCCATATTTTCTCCTCCAGGATCTCTTGGCCTGGAATCAAGGGATCCCCATGTGGAAGGGGCACTGGCACATGCAGGGAGCACTCCAGGAGTTGCTCCCTAGTTCTGACCTAAAGATAAAGAGGTTTTCTGCCAACAACATCAAAGCAATAGGGGCCCATGGACAACCAGAACTTTGAGGGAAATGAACCTTCCTCTCTGGCTGGAGAAGCTGGAGTCCCAAGTGTGTGTGACAAATCTCTGTTCATCTTTTATCTTTCTGTTCCCCTAACACTTGGTCCTGAAGCAGGCACAATGACAAGAAATGTGCTGTAGTACAGGGTAAATGAAATGCCACTAATAAAACTAGAGGATGTAAAAGGGGACTTGCAGGGAATCAGAAGGTACCATGGAGATCACAGAGAAGAATGTGAGAAAGAAAATCTGTAAAGCTGTTTACAAACTTCTGGATAACCGCTCACCCAACCCTCAAATACTGAGGGATACATGCATGGATCTGTTCTAAAAAGTAGACAAAAGACCTTGGAAACTAAACCAAGAGACAGATAACCAGACAGTT